AGACATATGTAGCAACAACTCCATATTTCTATATAATGTTAAAACCGTCTAACAGTGTGCATCCAATTTTGAGACATATGTAGCAACAACTCCATATTTCTATATAATGTTAAAACAGTCTAACAGTGTGCATCCAATTTTGAGACATATGTAGCAACAACTCTATCTTTCTATATAATGTTAAAACCGTCTAACAGTGTACATCCAATTTTGAGACATATGTAGCAACAACTCTATCTTTCTATATAATGTAAAAACAGCCTTACAGTGTACATCCAATTTCCAACCGCTTTCTATTTCACTCTTTGGGATTAATGGGTTTTCTGCTCTGCATGATAGATATCTGCCGTTATCTTCAATATTTGGTTTTAATATTAGAACACTGATGGTCTTATTCTCACTATGGTTATCATCAAATGGAGACGTCTTTTTGGCACTTTCAAGCTTTTTCCCTCCAATCCACCAGGTTAGCTGCGCAGTAGGACGTGATCCTATTCCGATACAAACTAGCTTGCTAGGTTTTTGGGTTGATAGTGGTCGATTGCTATTTTCAATCCACACAGCAAGAGGCTTGACTACGTATTAAAATCAGAGTCATGTATTTTATTAAACAGCTGGAAATCGTAAGTAAAGCACGAACTAATTAACGGATATTAAATTATATAAGTACCATTATACACGATGAGTCATATTTCTGAGTAAATTATAATAAACAGATTACCACTATATATGATAAGTTATATTTCTGAGTAAATTACAATAAACAGATAAAATAAAAAGTGTTTAATGTACAAAAAGCAGAATGACTCCCAAGACATCTTCCAGGCATTTTGAATTGAAATCTTAAATTAATATACACACAAAAAAATGTTCGTATTTAAGGTAAAGACTCATGTTTTAATTATTATAAACATTAAGAGCTAATATAATATTCTTAGCCAACAAGTGCCAGCATTTCCCTTTTATTTAAACACATATTAAAAAAATATATATAAGTCAACCGTCTGGAATCACTTTTAAATGTTTTTGTACAGAAAGTCTACATTTATTTATAGTATGGTTTGTTTGTTTGTAATTAAGCACAAAGCTATACAATG